TTTTTTTGCATTTCTTTATGGTTGAATAAAATCACATTACATGTAGTACATTTCACTATATGTTTCTTTTTTTGCTAGACATGAAATACTAGTTTGATTTCCTGGCCATTATGAATAGCAGAGCAAGCAATATGAAAACACATGGATATGCAAGCATATATGTGGCATTCCAACTCGGAGTCCTTCAGACATATAAGAATATGGCAGTGCAGATTAATTCAGTAGTTCTGATTTTGATTTTGAACATGCTCTACACTCTCTTATGGAATATCATCTTAACCATGTAAGGATGTGTTACATTTGTTTATGCTAGGGAATAGTTAACTGTATGAAGGTATGTTACATTCGTTTCTGCTGCATTTGTTGAATTATGTAAAGATGTCTTGCATTTGTTTCACCTCACCTGCCTAAGGCACCTGATTAATCTAATAAAAAGCTGACTGGCCAATAGCTAGGTCAGAGAGCAATAGACAGGGCTGATGAGCAGAGAGAATAAATAGGAGGAGAAAGCTAGGCTTGAGAAGGAGGAGAGAATAAGGGAGAAAGAGATGGACATGCCCGGGTCCAGAAGCCTGGACATCACCAGCCACCAGGAAGAAGCAGTGTAAGTAAAATACAACCAGAGTGAAATGGAATCTCAAGAAACCTTTCTATTTCAGTTTCATGATGACTAAGGGTGTTGAACACTTTTCATGTGTCTGGTTATTTGTATCTCTTCTTTCAAGAACTGTCTGTTCAGTTCATTAGCACAGAATTCTCATTTGATACAGTCTTCCAAGTCTTAGAATCCTCAAATTCAAGTGGAAGATATAAAATGAGTATAATTAGGAAAGATATTCTAATTATTCTCACTTGTAAATGCTTCCATATGTAAAAAGACTCCATCAAAAAACTCTTAGCCCTTATACACATTTTTCAGCAATAGAACAGGAGAGAAAAATCACAAATGTCAGTAGCTCTTCTCTATACCAATAATGAACTTCCAGAGAAATAAGTCAAGATTAAAATGCATAATAGCTTCACACACACACACACACACACACACACACACACACACACACACAGGCACACATACCTAGGTGTAAATGTAAGTAAGGGGATGAAAAAACTGTACAATAAAGAGTCACAGAAGATGGAAAAATACCTCATATGAATGAATTGTTAGAATTATATATATATACATATATATATACAATACATATATTATAGTCATTTTATAATACATATTATAAATGCATATGTATTATACATAATATATACATATATAATCAAAATAACTATTTACCATAAGCAATATGCTGAATAAATAAGTGTTATTTTTTTACACATTTGGAAAATATCATGAATACCCCATGGAAAACACTTCTTACAAAGAGCAACACTAGAGGTACTAGAGAAGCTGATCCTAAATTTTATTACAGACCCACAGAAACAAAACCACCATGATACTGGCACATATGATACTAGCACATAAACACACATGTAGACCAAGAGAATAGAGTCCCCTGTCCAAAAATATCTATTAACTTATTTTTATAAGGGATGTCATATTTGATAAATATCATATGTGTATTCACACACATATAGTTATAAAAATATGTAGGTAATGATTTGAGAGGGGGTTGGGGATACAGGAAGAACTGGAATGTAGAGAGAGGTGGAAATGGACAGTGGACTCATACTAAATCCTCGAATTAAAAAAAAAAACATAATTAAGGAAAGATAGACTTTATCAAAAGAACTCGGCAAAATAGTATTTCTGCATTTGTAGGTACTAAGTCTGAAGTCTTATCTCCCAACCTGCACAGCAATCTTCTCAAAATGCACCAAAGAACATGAAGTATGTCTTGGAACTTTGAAACTGTTTAGAGGAGAGCATAAGCAAATCACTTCAAGGCAAGCGTACAGACAAGTAGATGAGAAAAGCTAGGGAACATTTTTGACAACTACACCTCAGGCAGGGGTATTAATGTCTAGGGTATATAAGAAACTGCAAAAATTAAACAACCCACCCATAAGTTATTAGGTCAATAAAGACAGTGATTTCTAGAGATTCTAAGGTACCTGAGAACAGTGGCACACACCCACAGTCCCAGTGCTCTGGAGACTGAAGGACAGCCGTCAGTTTATAGCCAGACTGGGCTATGAGCAAGATCTTGTAGCACAAAACAGAAAAATAAAATTCTACCTGTTGCTTTTACGTTTCTAATTATTGTTGATTTACCTTCTGTTGTTTCTTGTCACTCAGCATTTGAAACACTTTGCTATGGTTTTTATGTTAGTCTCTCAGAATTACCTATGCCATTGCTCTATGATATTAAAATATTATGTTTTTTTTAATGTATCTATCCTGTTGAAATAAACACAAAAACGATGCCAGCATCATTTGCTCCTGAGCTGTTTTGTTTTAATAGTATAAGCTTGAGCCCTTCCTTGGCTTACATCACCTTTATCTACCCAGGACTCACATTCTCACTCCTTTGTTATCCCCACACAGATGTCACCATATCAAAGTTTCCATCCCTTATGATCTTGAGCAAAATGACACCCATCATCACAGTTCTACCAAAGCAGTACCTGAGAGTAGAGTATATATTATGTCCTTTGTGGTTTTCCTTAATATCTGTCTCCTCACGTTAGATACACAATCAAGCACACTACAAATCACTACTTACTTTACTCAGTTATTCTAAGCAAAGTGAGTCATATCAGAAAATGATGAAGACATGTAGGCTGAATGAGTGAATCCTTAGAGAGAGACACACAGAATGAGAATACAAGAATGGAGATTAATGGCTCCATCTCCAGTATATCACCCAGTTTCATCTAGAATAGTTAACAATGGCCGTAACCTAGGGCTGTGATTCAATAATTCTGGGATCAGAACTAACAAACAGAATTTTAAATAAAGTCCCTGTTCACCTTCAGGCTGCTTATAGGGAAACCAAGCTTTGTCTTGATGAACTAAATTTTTGGGTTTTTTTTAACTATCTAAAACTCAATTTATTAAAACAAACTTGTTTATTGAATCAATTTATCATCCCTTTTTATTTTCTTTAAGAACCAGCATGACTTACCCAAGCAAGTCTGATTGGCAAAAATTCAAAGCAGATGGTATTCTTAGGATTGGGGCAATGGTAAGCAATGCCATTTTTAAAAGAAGCATTCATTTAAAAATATTAAATTATATGTCTGTCTGTCTCTGTGTGGGTCTGTGAACATCAATTCAGGTGCCAGGCCAAGAGGTGTGCCTCTGGAGCTGGAATCATAGGCAGTTGTTAATAATCTGATGTGGGTGCGGGGAATTGAACTCTGATCTCCTGGAAGGTAAGTATATGCACCTAATCATTGAACCATCTCTCCAGTCCCAGAAACTTCTACTTGTAACACACAGGAAAACAATATGCTAAAATCCTTACAACAAAATTTTACATCTCATCTATTTTTAAATGTTCAATTCTGAGGCAACTATAGTCATCCTGTGACACCTAGTTTGCACTCTACTTTCATCTTTCCAAAATTATGTCTGATGCTAGACATGGCAGTCACACACGGATCGATCCTATAGATGTCACATTTCACAGGGGTGTTCATACAGTGTAAGCCAAAGGAGAATACATGACCCAATCCTATCCTGAATGATGCTAGTGGAGGTTCTTGAATTCCCCGAGTATTCAAAATTGGAAACAGAAACAAACACCCACAGGTAAACACTGAGCCGAACTGGAATCCAGATGTAGAGAAGAAAGACAAGACCAGGCTACAGAAACCCACAGAGACATCTGACCTGAGCAAGGAGGCACTAATAGACCCCCAGACTGATAGTTGGGAAACCAGCATTGGACTGATTCAGAACTCCTGAAAATGGGTCTCAATTAGAAGGCCTGGGCAATCTAAGGGACCTCTGACAATGGACCCAGGATGTATTCCTGGTGCACAAAGGTTTTTGGGAGCACATTCCCCAGGGAGGGATACTCCCTTAACCTAGAGGCAAGAGGGAGGGCCTAGTCCCTACTCCAAAAGACTTGGCAGATTTTGTTGATCCCTCCTAGAAGGCATCACCCTTCCTGTGGAGTGTGGGGGGGGGGAGGAATGGGATGGGAGGGTGGTCGGGGAACATAGGAGGGAGGGAGAGAGGGAAGGAGAGGGAACTGGGATCAATATCTAAAATAAGAAAAATAAATAAATAAATAAAAACAAAGACAAAAAACAAACAAACAAAAAAAAGCAAAATTGGATCAACTTTATAAAATTTGAAGGAAAAATAAAGGAAGTTGGACTATATAAATCATGCAAGACTGATTTTGTGACTCACTCCAGTCAGCCTTATAGTGTTCTTATTGATATAAAATTAACAGAGCTGGATACTCGATGCTTTATATCTTTTGTGCCTGGGCTACGTATGTTTAAAAATGGGAATTTTTCCTAAAACAGTAACACACAGGTCACTTTGTCATATTAGAAATGCAGTGTGGATTTCTTGTAACTCTGACACATGTTACTTTTCCTTATAGCATGCAAAGATAGCTGTTCACATAATATGCCTCACAATATTCCCAGCCACAAATGCATTAGCTTTCAGACAAGCACCATGCTATCATCAACGAGATGCCACAAAATAAGACATGTTCTAATATCGCTTTGAAAAGCATAGCTTTGTGCTTTAAGTGCCGAGAACAAGCAAACGCCTCTGCCTATACTTTTCAATCAGCTGCTGTGTTGTTCTGAGAGGTAGTTGACAGCGTAAGAACCCTGTGAGCATTATATTCAGGAAGGATAAGAAACATAAAGAATATTAGGCTCAGGTAGGTAGACAGGTTGATAAGGTAGCACCAGGGGCCTGCTGTTTTTTTTTTTTGTTTTTTTTTTTTTCAGAAACAATTGTTACAGCTCTATTATGTAAAGGAACAATGGTTTTCAAAGATTTATGACAACCAAAAGCTTAGCTGAGATAAATTAATTACTAAACTGATTTATAAAACCCTTCCCAGTAGTCTTACTTGATGGCAGATCTCGCATTTTTGGGATATAAAAACAGTCCCTAAAATGCTTCAGTTTATCTTCCTCATCCAGGCGAAGAGCAACCCTCTCATCTGTTGGGTGGCATTTGAGTTCAGCTGTGATGCGCCGCACTGCATCAACTGGTAGCTCAAGGGGCGAAGGCTCCATCACAAACTGTTATCAAAGAAGGAAGTAAAATGATGAAACAATATAGCTATCATCATTTTTCTACAGAGTATTATCCCTGTACTGAGTGTACCACAATTTTAAACTCAGTCTTCCGTTTTTGCAACTCCAGAAACAATAGAACTATAGCCAGGAGTAGTGGTAGAAGAATTACTGAGAGATAGAGGCTTGGGCTACACGGTGAGAGCCCCACTGGGATGGGCTACATACTGAAACCCAGCCCCCAAGAATCCAACAAACAGAAACTGCTGGAGACAGGGCATCAAGAGTAATGGTCCTGGCTGCCAAGCCTGAAAACGCAAGTTCCATTCCTGTAACCCACATGGTGACAGGATCTATATAATTACTCCCTTTAAACCTCATCCTAAGATTTCATTATACATAAAATGAAATAGTAGTAACTTAGAAATATTTGAAAATATTACTCTAGGTATGGGTGTACAACATGGAGGCAGAGGCAAACCTTTGTATGAGGTCAACCTAGATTACATAAAGATTTGCAGCCCAACCAGAGATACACAGTGATAACTTGTCTAAATAAACAAAACCAAAATTTGCTAAGGCTAAAGAAGAGTTTTCTTGTTAATGTTCATTTTGTGGGTTTTTTCTTTCTTTTTTTTTGATGTGTGTGTGTGGTATATGTATGTATGTATGTATGCATGCGTTTCTGTGTGTATGTGAATGTGTGTTTTGGGGTTGCAAGTCTGTTTGTGTACATTTGGAGGCTGAATGTCAGTGTCCTCATACACTTAGTCTTACATTCCTGACACAGGTACTCTTTCCAGGAGCTTGCCAATAGCTTAGGCTGGCTTGCCCCTGAGCTCCAGGGATCTGTTAGTCTCCATTCTTCCCTTCATCCTGGGGTTACAAATACTTGTTGCTGCACCTAGATTTTTCTGTGGGTGCTGGAGATCTGAAATCATGTCTTTATGCTTGTATGGCAGATAGTTTACTGACCAACACATCTTCCTTATCCTTCTTATTCCATTATTTTTCAATCTTAGCATTTATTTATTTTCATTTTTTGTGTATGATTATTTGCCTATGTATATGCATCCTACATGTACAGTGTTGACAGGGCCCAAAAGAGGGTCCTTGGAACTAGAGTTACAGGCAGTTGTTAACTGTGTGAGTGCTGGAAACCAAAGCCAGGGTCTATGTAAGAGAACAAGTACTCTTAGCAACTGAGCCATCCATTCTTATCTGAAAACAATGAACCACAAATTTATTGTTTAATCTCATTCTATTAAGTTGTGACAGTGAAGGTACTTTTTTTTTTTTTTTACTTTTTTATAAAATACAGACTCCCAATTTTTCCATGTAGCAACATTTTAAAAACTATGGATAACTTAAACTTTACCAAGTCTTTAGTATATATGCAAATGGTATTGATGGAAAGGCAAATTCTGTCTGAATGTCATCCTTTTCTCTATATGATACCAGAACAATTCAACCACCTGCAGCTTCTCAACCACCCCTGAGCAAGCAGGATTCTGTGGTGTTTGTTGAAACCACATTCTACTCTTTCATAATCATCTAGAAATCTTTGGTGTTTGGGGAAGAAAGAAGAACATTTCTGAGGGGTCATTAAAGGTTTATTTTTTTTTTAAATTTTACTTTGTTAATTAATATAGTATGTATAAAATGTATATGGAGACACCAACATGCCACTGAGCATATGCAGTGAATTGTTTCTTTCTTTGCACCTTGGGTCTGGGTATTAAACTGGGGACATCAGGCTGTGCAGCAAACACGTTTTTTAATCTGTTGAGCTGTCTCACTAGCCTAACAATGGAGGTCTAACTGCATGCTTTAGCTCCATTTGTTTGTTGGTTTATTGGTTTAATTTCCCCTTAACTTTAGGTGTTTGAAGGTGAGTAAGAAAGATGTTAAAGACAAGCAGACCTCCTTAGACTTCCTTGATCTATGCATGGTAGTTCTATAAGCATTATACACCTAAGCCTTTAAAATATCTTGCCATGTTCCCTTCATGTGGCTCCTGACATTGGAAGAAGGGCAGGGTAGAAAACTGGAAGTACCATTTCTTGCACATTTGACATTGTGTGGAAGAAAGGGAGAATAAATATCATAGTATATGTTGTAGATAGTTTTAAGATCTAAGGGGCCAGAGTAATGTGAGGGTGTAGTTGATAAGACTCAGTGGGATCCTGTGCATTTGCATTGATGGAGATCTCAGTTTGAAGGAAGACAGTTGTAACTGAAAGGCCCAGGGCAGGAGATGACAATGGCCTGGTCAACAAAGACCATGTAGGTGTGAGGGGGGAAATAGAGTGAAGTAGACAGGGTCAGACATTAGTCATGGGAAACTTCTGAGACTGAAAGGGGCTTTGAGATCCTTGTTGGACAGAAAAAGTGCTTATTGAGCACAGTGCTGAAATAAGATGTAAATCTGCATTAAATGAAAATCATTATGTACTGTAAAGAACTGTAAGAATCTAACAGGGAGCTGGCAAGGTAGCAAAGCAGGTAAAAGTATTTGCTGCTTAGATCTTTTAACATGAGTCTGATTCTCAGAGCCCAAGTCAAAAAGTCAGATGAGGTGACACACATCTGTAGTCACAGCATTCCTGCTATAACATGGGATGGTGAAATGGGAGAATTAGCCAGAATTCCCTGGGAGACAAGCCCAGAGTGTGAGCCTGGCAGAAACAAGAAAGCCCTTGTCTCGATAATGTGAAAGGAAACAACTCCCAAAAGTTTTCCTCTGACCTCTAAAAATACACCATGGCACATATGTGGTTGTACTAATGTAGGAAAACCACATGCATGTGCACACCACATACACACACACACACTCACACACACACAGTATTACCTATTCTAGTAATAATAAATCATATTTTAAATGTTATTGGTTTAAAAAAGAGAGAGAGAAGAATACAAGTTCATGATACAGTTGGTAAGAAAAACATAGTGTGGCAACTGCTTCTCCTACATAGACAACAGAGTCCCACACAGAAAACATTTAATCCCATAAGTATTGAACCTCTAGAGAGTGATGTTAGAGTGACCACTGTCATCCGTCTCTGCAATGAAGAGTGCATGTGATGTTTGGTTTTTACCTCACACTAAGATGAATCTAGAAAGGGTTTTGTATAAAAATGGAAAGGAACAAGCTTTAAAGTGGCATTTTATCTTCTATCCTTCCTTTTCTATTCAACCTTAATTAGAACACAGTTTTTTAGGTCCATGTATGGATGAAAAAGACAGAATATGCTTGTCGTGCTTGCAACTTGATTTTAAGTTTGTTAATACTCAGGTATCTTCTGATGAATTTAGCTTGAATAAAGATGACTGTGTTTCTCCTTTGACCTGACACATTTAGTTAGGTTTTACTGGACACTTGATCATGCATTGCTGTCTGTCAGTGATCTGTTGCAACTTCATTGAGGCATTTAGCTGAGCATAACACCAAATTCTTCCAAGAGTGAACGGTGATAGAAATGGATTAATTCAGGTAGAAACAGGATCATAAATTTCAAAGAATCAGAGAGAACATGAAATGCTGGGGCTCAAGAGCATATGGTCACAAGAGAGTCATTTTTATTTTCACAGTGAAACAGGAGTATTGATTATTAAAACATGGAAAATATGCAATGATTCTAGAAGCACAAATAAGGTCACTGAGCTGAGCAATTGTTGTGGCCAAACAGTGAAAACCCTGAACAAATACCAACTCGTCCATGTTGAGAGTCACAGAACCTTGCTAGCACTGAGGTCTGTGCAAGCTCCAGGGTCTGTTGAGGGCTGTTGCTAAATTTCCTGGGATATTATCCTTGTCCTTGCTGTTATAATGAGTTCCTGTAGGCTGTGTTAAAGTCTATTCCACTGGCATTACACCACATTTAATTTCTCATGGAGGCTACCCCATTGCTAAGTAGTGTTGTTCATGTAAGCTTTCCCCAAAATAAAGGACAGCTGAATACGAGAGGCCAAACAAACAGCTCAGTGACTTATGTGACATGAGCAATAACTTGCTCCCAGGAGAATGTGCTTTCTTTCCCTCTGACCATAGGGAGACCAATTAGAGAAACTCTTCTTGTGAAACTCAGAGTCTAAAGCTTGCCTTATGTTGGAATTTTAGCTGGAATGCTAGCACTTTATTGTTTCTTTGGGGACATGTGAGTTCTGAGAAAGATTCTTTCAATTTTAATATTAATTCACTGTCATATTCTGAGCAACACTTCACTATTCTTACAGGAAGCATTTGTGAACAGTGTGAAATCTTCTGTAGGCACATTTTAACCTTGCTATCATCCTTTCAATCTATGAAAGACTGGTGCAATACTCCTAAATGAAACTGGGTTGTTTGCTCATGCATACAGCCTCAACACCAGGGAGTCTGAAGATTGCCTTGAATTCAGCATTGCCCTGGGCTATACAGCAAGTTCCAGGTCAGCTTGGCTTATATCATAAGGCCCTGTCTTAATCAACAGCAATCTAAAAATGGTCTTTCCAGTTACTTACACATATTTTGATATACACCAAAACAATACAAGAAAATAACTAATAATAATTTGTGTGAGCAAGTGTAGAGACTATCTAAATGTGAAAAGAATGGCAGTTATTTGACCATCAACTCAACAAATGGTTATTGAGCATCTACCATGACTTAGGCATATAGCTCTGCAAAAATAAAATAATGCTTCTAATCTCATGACAAAGCATGTGCACAATATAAAAGTCAGTCATTTTTGGACATGGTGTCACATATCTGTTATCACGGATATCGTACAGGAGAAAAGACAGAACAATTACAAGTTCTAGATCAGCCCTGACTATATAGCCAGATCCTATCCAAAAATGAACAAGGAAAGTGTTGGTATCCAGTTAGTCCTTGTAACAATACGGAGGAGTTAGATAGAGTTACTTTAATCTAGAAGTCAAAGACTGCACAACAGATTAAAAAATGGACTCTAGGGAAAATGCAACGTTCATTATCATCAGGTTTGTCTGAGAGTGTAGGGCAAACTGGGCTTCTCTTGAAATATGGAGTCAGCCCCACATAGAGGCTGCTCAGAGAGAGAAAACCCTGTGCTCAGAGCAGCCCCTGATTTCCTTGTATCCTATTTTTTAAGTCTTAAAATCAATGACTTTAAGTTTCTTCCCTTTTTCTCTGGTTTCTCTTTTTGACTCAACATAAAGTCTACACATCAGCATAGTCTATATGCATTTTCTCTTTAAAAAAAATACTTGGAGATAGACCTTCTTGAGGCAGCAGAGGTTCATCTGGATCCCATGATTCTTCTTCCTGAGTACTGGGGGTACAAATTCATGCCTATTTACCTTTATTTTAAAATATAACCCCTCTGGCAAAAGTGTGGCTGTTTCCACTTCTGGGTTTTTTACACTTAAGGTAGGAGGAGATGTTGAACAGAAATGTCTTCCCTGAAATAGGGTCTCCTTCCAGGTTACCCCTCTGTGCACCAGCTCCAACATACTTCAATGCTCATTCAAGACCTTTGACCCAAGAAAGCACTTGATTAGCTCATACTATTTGCTGCTTAATTCTGCCTTCATACAACCAGCTAAGACAATTAGTGATTCAAAACATCATTTTATGCCTTGTGACTTATCATTCCCAAGTAAATTGACATGATTTTTTTTGAAAATGAAGATACTAGTTTATTATAACTGTCAAATTGCATTTTTCATGTATTGAGCATGGTTTAATTTTGTGAAGGTAGACAAATACATCATGTGCTGGCATGCAAGTCATCTCAGCACTCTTGGTTATTGTTATATAAAATAGAGTTCAATTTAACTTTTTCTAGGAGACTGAATAGAATCAAGTCACATTCATAGGGGATTTTCGTAACAGCTTTAAATATCAATGTGTTTTGATGGAAATTGATTTTGCCTTCAATCATATACTTGAAATTTTGAAAATTGTATCTTCATGATTTTATTTAAATTTTCACAATTAAAAGGTTCTACTTACTAAAAAAAGTTCACCAGCGGTTACAAGTCACAGATTTAAGATTTTCTGATCCTACTGTTCTAAGGTTAACCAGTTAAATGAATGACCCATTAGTCAATAGTTAATCTTTACACAGCAAAGCATCATTCTAACCCTGAAGTGAGGAAATTCCATACTAAGTTCAAAGTCTAGAAGCTGATAGAGATACATTCACAAAATGTCATCCTCCATGGGGAAAGTACAAAGTTTACACATGCCTCTGGAGGACTGTCATTGAGATTTATGTGACATGGCAGTACAGTTTTGAGTTTGAGTTTGTTCCCAAGTTCTTAAAGTAGTGAACACTGCAACACTGGAACTGAAACTGTTTCCCAAACACAGAAGAAAAAAAAAAAAAAAAAGAATCCACTTTCTTTTCTTAGGCAAATAAATGCTATAGAAAACAAAAGGGGAAGAAACTCCCCCTCCAGATGAGTCACTTTCACTTTCACTTCTGCAAAAGTTAATGTTACTAAGAGCCTAAGAGCAGCACAGGACAAAAGCATAAAACCTGAGATGATAAAGCTTATTTAAACACATCTTTTGTCCCTGGACTTCCTCTATCAGACCATTTGAACTGGACTAAGTGCATGGCTAAGATAAGGTGACTGTATGTAATCAAGTTGAGTAGATGAACTGCAATATGTTATCTCACTGTGCTACTCACTGTGTGGGTTGAGAGGTATAGACAGCCATGTCCTAAAAAGACGAAACAAGTAAAAGAAATCTTCAAAGAACTGTACCGGATTAGCATAGAGAAGTAACATTTGGAAAAGAACAAGAGAAGTGAATGTCCATTTCTGTGTAGAGCCATGCCTTTCTGCTTACCTGCTCTGATCCTCACAGGGCCCTCAGGTTTCAGTACCTTCTTAGGGGATGCCTGACAGTTCTTGTTGCTAGTCAGCCAGACTGGAAGAACTGATCAGACTCCACCCTGCTGGGAATTTGCATGTCAACTTTAGTTCCTCCCACCGTTTTTATTCAGGTTGCAAATTTCAAGCCACTGACAAAATCTAAGCAAAATGCTGCACCTCCCCCTGTCCACTCTTTGGAGCCCTTGCAAATTCCAGGCAGCTCACCTACACTTTCTTGCCCTCTGCTTATCTCTGCTGTGATCCCTGTGTCAGAGAACTGAACTCCAAAAATCTGCATTTATTTTTTTTCATGTTGTGCTCTGGAATATTCTAAACCCTGGAGAAATGCTCTCTTTCAACTCTGGACACTTTTCTCTTCGATTTTGAGACACTGACTCACTGTTCAGTTTGACTGCAGGATTTCTGACTTATTCAAAAGCTTAAAATAAACTGGGGGTGTTGGTATATACTATTAACTCAAGCACTCTGCACTAAATAAGAAGGCCCTTGCCTCCAAAGAAAAATTAATTCAGGCTATTAGTTCCTCAAAACACTTTATTGCCTAATAAAAGGAATTTTAAGATTCCCAGGCTGTAAATCTTTGACAGTATGACAACCACAGAAAAAAAAGAGTTAAGGTTTGACAATCCATGTGAAAAGTAACCTGGGAATCTTTACTAATGCAAAAAACTTATCTATACTCTCATTGTCAGGCCTAGATTACCTCCCCTGGAATGTTTTATTAAGCATAAAAACAATTGCACTAATTACCCATATGAAGAAAACAGAGGATAGTCACATAAGAGAATTAACATAAGAGAATTAAAGCCTTAGAACAGAGAGAAGCCAACTCACCCCATAGGAGTAGACGCCAGGAAATAATCAACTTGAGGGCTGAAATCAACAAAATAGAAACCAGGAAAACAATACAAAAAAATCAATGCAACAAAGAGTTGGTTCTTTGAGAAAATCAACAAGATACACAAACCTTTATCCAAATTAACGAAAAAGTAGAGACAGAACATGCAAATTAACAAAATCAGAAATGAAAAGGGGAACATAACAGACACAGAGGAAATCCAGACAATTTTCAGGTCATACTTTGAAAATTTGTATTCCACAAAAATTGAAAATTCAAAGGAAATGGACAAATTTCTGGATAACTATCACTTACCAAAATTAAATCAAGAACAGAAAAACAACTTAAATAGACCTATAACCCACAATGAAATAGAAGCAGTCATCCGAAAGCCTTACAACCAAAACAAGTCCAGGGACAGATGGATTCAGTACAGAATTCTACCAGACATTCAAGGAAGAACTAATACCACTACTCCTCAAACTGTTCCACAAAATAGAAACAGAAGGTTCATTGCCAAACTCTTTTTATGAGGCCACAACCTTGGTACCCAAGCCTCACAAAGATATAACTAAGAAAGAAAACTACAAACCAATATCCCTGATGAACATCGATGCAAATTTACTCAATAAAATACTGGCAAACCGAATTCAAGAATACATCAGAGAAATCATCCACCATGACCAAGTAGGCTTCATCCCTGGAATGGAGGGATGGTTTAACATGTGAAAATCTATCAAGGTGATCCACCATATAAACAAACAGAAAAAGAAAACCCATATGATTATCTCCCTAGATGTGGAAAAAGCCTTCGACAAAATTCAACACCCTTTCATGATAAAGGTCTTGGAAAGGTCAGGGATAACAGGAACATACCTAAACATAATAAGAGCAATATACAGCAAACCAACTGCCAACATCAAACTGAATGGAGAGAAACTTAAGCCAATTCCTCTAAAATCAGGAACAAGACAAGGCTGCCCTCTCTCTCTCCATATCTCTTGAATATCGTACTAGAAGTTCTAGCTAATGCTATAAGACAACAAAAGGAGATCAAGGAGAACCAAATTGGAAAGGAAGAAGTCAAACTGTCTCTATTTGCAGATGATACGATAGTTTATGTAAGCGACCCAATAAACTCTACCAGGGAACTCCTACAGCTGATAAACACCTTCAGCAAACTAGCAGAATACAAGATAAACTCAAAAAAATCAGTAGCCCTACTTTTTTCAAATGACAAAGAGACAGAGAAAGAAATCAGAGAAACATCACCCTTTACAATAGCCACAAGCAACATAAAGTACCTTGGGGTAACGCTTACCAAACAAGTAAGAGATGTATATAACAAGAATTTGTGGCTCTAAATAAAGAAATTAAAGAAGATACCAGAAAATGGAAAGATCTCCCATGCTCTTGGATAGGTAGGATAAACATAGTAAAAATGGCAATCTTGCCAAAAGCAATCTATAGATTCAATGCAATCCCCATTAAAATCCCACCACAATTCTTCACTGACCTTGAAAGGATAATAATCAACTTTTTATGGAAAAAGACCCAGGATAGCCAAAACAACCCTATACACTAAAAGAACTTCAGGAGGCATCACCATTCCTGACTTTAAGCTCTACTACAGAGCTATAGTTCTGAAAACAGCCTGGTATTGGCATAAAAATAGATAGGCAGACCAATGGAATCGAATTAAAAATCCTGATATTAACCCACACACCTATGAACACCTGATTTTCGACAAAACAGCTAAAATTATACAATGGGGCAAAGACAGCAACTTCAACAAATGGTGCTGGCACAATTGGATGAGGGTGTGTAGAAGACTGCAGATAGACCCATGTCTGTCGCCATGCACAAAACTCAAGTCCAAATGGATCAAAGACCTCAACATCAATCCAGCCACATTGAACCTCTTAGAAGAGAAAGTAGGAGGTACCCTTGATCAAACAGGAGACCGTTTACTGAACATAACTCCAGGGGCACAGACACTGAGAGAAACAATTAATAAATGGGACCTCTTCAAACTTAGAAGCTTCTGTAAGGCAAAGGACACAGTCGACAAGACCAAATGGCAGCCCACAGACTGGGAAAAGATTTTCATAAATCCTATATCCGACACAGGGCTGATCTCTAAAATATACAAAGAATTCAAGAAACTAGTCAACAAAACACCAAATAACCCTATTAAAAAATGGGATACAGAACTGAAGAAAGAATTCTCAATAGAGGAAATCAAAAAGGCTGAAAGACACTTAAGAAAATGCTCCACATCCTTAGCTATCAGGGAAATGCAAATCAAAACAACTTTGAGATACCATCTTACTCCTACCAGAATGGCTAAAATTAGAAACACCAATGATGACTCATGTTGGAGAGGATGTAGATAAATGGGAACACTCCTCCACTGCTGGTGGGAGTTCATACTCATACAGCCATTTTGGAGATCAGTATGGGAATTAGGAGATCAGGAAAATGGGAATTAGTTTACCACAGGACCCGGCTATCCCCCTCTTAGGCATATACCCAAAGGATTCACATCCATGCAACAAAGACATCTTTTCAACTATGTTCATAGCAGCACTATTTGTAATAGCAAGGACCTGGAAGAAACCTAGATGCCCCTCAATTGAAGAATGGTTAATGAAGATGTGGCACATCTACACAATGGAATACTACTCTGCAGAAAAAAATAATGGTATCTTGAAATACGCAGGCAAGTGGATGTCACTTGAAGAAACCATCCTGAATGAGGTAACCCAGTCACAAAAAGAGGAACATTATATGTACTCACTCATATATGAATTTTAGACCTAGATCAAAGGATCACCAGGCTATAATTCACAGCACCAGAGGAACTAGGATACAAGATGTATTCTAAGAGATTCATATAAAGTCCCTCACAGAACCGGGAAGGAACAAGTCCCCCAGAGCTCAGGGGAAGTGGGGGGGGGCAGCAAATGGAGAGAGAATTAGGAGAAAACGAGGGGGAGGAAAGGAAAACATGTGCGACCAGGAAGATTGAGCCTGGTTAGGAATAGAAGACAGGAGAGAGAGAGAGAACATAAAAGAGGGAGCCAATATTGGTTTGAAGATAAAATTGAACACAAAGAAAGGTCTAGAGAACTACAAGACTGATGCCATCTAACAATTTGAGATTTAGTGGAAAGGCTACCATAAATGCCCTTCCTGGAGAGTGAGATAAACAACTTATCCATGGAGCCCTCAACTAATGTCTGTTGGATACAGGAGCAAACACCCATACATAAACACAAAGTCGAAGTAGAACCCAGATGCAGATGGAGATGACAAGACCAGGTGGCAGAAACACATAGAGACAGCTTACCTGAACAAGGAGGAGCTAAGAGGCCACCAGACTGATAGCTGGGAAGCCAGCATGGGACTGACTCAGGCCACCCTGAATGTGGGTCTCAGCCAGAAGGACTGAGCAGTCTAAGGGACCTCAGACAGTGGAGCCAGGATGTATCCCTGGTGCACAAAAGGACTTTGAGAACACATCCCCCAAGGAGCGATAACTGCCTTAATCTAGAGACAGGAGAGAAGCCCTAGTCCCTACTTCACATGACCCCAACTGGATGGCATTCCCCTAAGTATGGAATTGGGGTGGGGGGTGGGAGGAGAGGGTGGTTAGAGTGCATGTGAGAGGGCAGAGAGGGTAAAAGGGAGGGAAGGAGGGAGAGAGGAAGGGAAGGAGGGAGGTAGGGAGAGGGATCTGGGATCCACATGTAAAATAATAAATTAAATTAACAAAAATGCTATGACTCCAAAATGTAAGTTGAAGGACAAGTTACTGGGGAAAAGGATTTCTATTTTTGTTTCCACAGAAAATGAAAGGATGTGGATTCCTTCCAGACTAATGTGGTTTGATCAATCCAGACCACCTGAAACAGAGTACCAGGTGATCCTACATTCAAATCAACTGGACAAAGCAGCCTTACAGACTACAGCCAGGATTTCTGAATCTTCTTCAAATCCCCCATGACAGCGCCCCTTACCAGCAGGAAGTAGTTTGGAAAGAACGATGCCCAAATTCCCAAATATTGTGTATAAATGTTTGTTTTCATTTAAATGGACTTGGGCATGTAAAAAAAAAACATAAAACAAAAACAAAAAACAAAACAAAAACAAAGTGCCAA